GAATCAATCCCACACTCATCCAAATAAATCCAACGTCCCACAATGTCCAAAGGGAACAGGGTTAAGCTGAAATCGACGACCCTTAAATGGTTGTCATAGAGAATCCATTGAAAAGTTGATGAACACAGTCGGTAGATAGGAGCGAAACTAGGCTTATGTTTCTCCACCCAATAACGAGGTGGAGTTCCCAACTAGGGAACGAGCTAAACGAATTCCCACTAGGCGAACCCTCCACTTTTCGAGAAAAAGAATCTTTGAAAAGCCGGATGGACGAGGTTAGAAGCCCTCGTTCAGCAACAAAACCAATCGTTAGGAAAGCTAGCGGCGTATTTGACAAGTTAGGCTCCAAGCATTCAGTCATACCTCAAAGTGAATGATTTGAATTCAATTTCGAAATGCCCACTGGAACAGAAAAAACTAGAAATGGATGCCTTAAAAAAGCTTATTAATGATTTAGAAGCTAAAAAGAAGCCAAAAACAAGGGGACTGTTGAGAAATACCTTGGTAAAGGCCACTCCCCCTTCACAGAAGATATTCTTGATGAGCCCCTGCTCGAAAAATTGAAGATGCCATAGTTGACTGGGTACCAAGGGGAAGGAGATCCTTCTACTGACTTAGACAAGTACACTTCTTGGTGGAGCTACAAGGTGCTCTGCTTTCCCACTGATGTTGGGAGATAAAGCTCAAACATGTTTTTGACTGCTGTATCAAAGATCCATAATAACTGGACCGACCTAACCATGGCGTTCTTAGCTCAATTCATAGAATCCAAGGCCAAAACTATGCCTAAAGAACGCTTGGTGAGCATCTAACAAGGAAAAGCAAACTACTCAAAGGTTACCTCCATAGATTCAACAAGCAATCCATGGAGGTAGAAAAGATCTTCGATGATGCCTCCCTCATGGCATTCTTCTTTGGACTAAGGCCTAGAACAAGGTTTTGGTGGTATATAAGGATGGACCCAAACGTATCATGAATTCCTCAGTCAACTTGAAAAACATATAACCACAGAGGAGGTAACCTTAGATCAAGAGAAAACTAAGGCAGAGCTGCACACCTTAACAGGCAAAGGAGAAAAAGTTAGATAAAGGATTCACCCATGAGATAAGGAAAGACTGGAGGAAAAGAGATCGACCCAAACCTTACCCAGACAGGTTTCCTGAATACCTACTAAATGCTACCTTAGAAGAAGTTTTCATCCAAACAAGTGATAAGGAGGTGTTCTGCAGACCCCTACCCTAGAAAAAGGATCCGACGGAAAGAAATCAAAACAAGTACTGTCAATACCACAAGATGGTAGGACATAATACAGATGATTATAGAGACTTGAAAGAAGAAGTGGACTCATTAATCAGACGAGGCCACCTATAAGAATTTTTTGCTAAACCCCGAAAGATAAACCCATCTTGTCACCAACAACCTTACCAACAAGGGGCAAGACAACAAGCTCAGCAGGATCTCCCGACTCGAAATCCCCATCCCCAAGTCGAGGTCAGAATGTGATAGGTGGCAATCAGTACATCGAAGGATCCACAAAAGAGAAGCACAAACAAGCTCAATAACACATGCATCTGATAGAATTATGAAATAAAAAACCCAAGTTCAACCAAGACGTTGCACCATACCTGGAGGGGTTCGAATTTTCAGATTAAGATACTCAAAGAATTCTTCACGACCAAATAGACGCTTTGGTAATAACCATGTCGATCACAGTAATACAAATATACCGAACCCTTATAGATAACAGGAACTCAGTTAATGTGCTATATTCCCGAAGTCTGGAGCAAATGAGAATCTTAGATAACTCTAGCCATAATCCAAAAGGCTACAAAGATTTTTCGAAGATCCCATCGAAGCCCGAGGACAAATCGCTTTGACTGCGAAATTAGGCGAGTCTCCATATTAATGGAAAACCACAGCAGACTTCGTAGTTGTCGTTTTGCTTTCCATCTACAGCGCCATTTTGGGTAGACCCATATTACACGAACTAATGACAGCCACTTCAATATACCATTACAGTATGAAGTTTTCCACCCAACGAGGTTGGAGTGGTGCAAGGAGATCAGGCTAAAGTTTGAGCATACAATATTGATCTACCTAGACCTCATATCCAGATGTTGAGAGACGAGCGAAATATTCGAAATGGGAAAGCAAGGTTGAAAAAACCTATAGTAGCCAACTTAACTATAACCAGTATCATTGAGAAACATCGAAAAACCCAAA